TGTTTGGTGCCCCTCTCAAAAGTCGCGGAATAAATTTTGCACTTATTGATTGATTGATCATTTGATGGCATTCAGTTACATAAGGACATCTCCCTGTATTCGGTTATCCCCTGGTAATTAGAATAAACACTGGGGGCGGTCATCTCCCTGTATTTGGAATAAACACTGGGGGTGGTCAGCTGAGTTATCTCCCTGTTTTTTGGAATAAACACTGGGGGGGGGATATCCCTCCGTATTTGGAATAAACACTGGGGGTGGTTATCTTTCTGTATTTGGAGTAATACTGGGGATACCGGGGACGTCTATTTCAAGCTCGACCACTTAAGCATTTATATGAGCGCAGCGTTGAAAATTCATGACGGAGTAATGGAAATACTTTGTAGTCCTACGCCTTTTAGATTTCGGTCAGATATCGATCTTTCTCACTCCTGGCTATGCCGCCAACGGTTTCTGGAGTTCTTCCGCTTTACTTCCATATTTCGCTATCGGTTGACAACACCTCTTTGCCAGGATTTCATAAAACGCGAAACAAGCTAAGTTAAGTTTCATTTCTCACATTTTCAGTTTTCGTGACAATTGGCCTGAACCTTGAGAGGAAAGTTTGCTTTGAAATTAGATGCAAATACCGGCCTCAAAAAGAGAAAAACCTTAATGGCAAATGCATAACAAATTTCATTTATGCCAGCTGAAACAGGCAATGGCTACAATTAATCAGAGTGCTTTAGGGTACTCGTAACCTTTCAACTGCATTTCCGTTTAAGTGCACTTTGCGGCCTTTAAGTAGCGTTCAAAGTTCAATGTACGCTAGCTCTTGCATAAAAAAAGTTTCTGAGGACCCTTGACTGTATGTATAAAAAAATATTGATATAACCACCCATATAACCAGCCTCCTGAAATTGTGCATTGCGACTCTGTTCATGAAAACTGGCAATCAGGTTTGTGAGCTGAGGGAACTCAGAGTGCGGAGGTGGGGCTCAACTTTCTCAAATGAATGCAACATCTATTATTTTAGGAATTCCTGCCAGGACTCAGGACTACTGTAGTAGAATAGTTTTAATAAAAGTTATGTGTTTGTAAAGTTTTTTTGTCTGTGCGTGCAAAAGCAACAAAAATGTTTAAAAAAAAGTCATGACTACTGCAGACCACAGGCAAAAAATGTGCCGAGAACTGTCTAGCTGTTTTAATTTAATTTCAATTTTCTTAAGCACGACCCACAAGCTACCGAGCTTTAATTCAGTTTAAATAGAGCTTACAAAGGGTGTCTGCCTGTCTGTCTTTTGGAACTGCAAGATTCGAGATTTGCGCGTGGCTCAACAATGAGCTATCAGTCTATCAATCTACTTAAAAAGGCATTGCAATATGAAAGCACTCCTTTCTTTCCACTGGTGTCGCATTTTATGAAATTCTTGCTCGAGCATGCGCATAAATCAAAATTTTGAGACGAGAAAGTGACCTACGTCTTTAGGCTTTTCGGTTTTTTAATTTTTTTTCCGCCTTTCCTTTTTCTCCTTTTCTTATCTTTTTGCTGTAGTTGTTGACCTTCTACTGGGCTTGCTTCCAGTTCATGAATAAAAGCTTTTTATTATAAAATTATATAGAGCATGTATCAGTAATACTTAGTTGATTAAGCCCTTATATTAGAAACGACTGGACATTGTGGAGCTGTTATGTAACAAGTTGAAAAGAAGCAATGAGAGCCACAGTACGAATATTCATTTTCTGAAGGGTGAAAGGAAACGTTTTAGCTCACTGTAATATTATTAATAATAATTCAGATTAATGAACTGCATTTGCTGTCAGAGGCAGTCTCCTGAAAAGTCCACCACCTCAGAGAGTTCTCTTTTCTTGGCCTCATGATGTGCCCATCTTTCCTCGGCAAGCTTTGGTGTCACTTTCCACCGTTATGATAAATAACTTGTTTACATGCAGGACATTTCTTCCCTCCTGTGAGATACTAAAATAAAATTTCAAGAAAATTCACTTTGTTTTTAGATCCATTCCATTTTCAAACTAACTAATACACCTGGGTTAGCTTTATCATGCTATGAAAAAGTTTTCCAAATAGTAAAACCAACAGTTAGGTCTACCTCTTAGAAAACAGCGCCCTACCTATAGTAACATTGTAGACTTCCTTTTAAATAACTGTTCTTTTACCAGCCGCATAAACATTATTCACAATCTACTTCATGCCGGCCGGGCATCCGTGGTCTTCCAGTGAAAAAATCCGCGAGAGTCACGACAATCCACAGCGAGGAGCAACTGTAAAAGAAAAACAAAGAAACTCGTATCAACCATCTATTATTAGCGTCCTTTACATGTAAATTCGGTAGCATTTAATAAGCATTACACCAACTTAAATAACAAGGAACGATAAAGGTTATAGATACCGAAAACGACTCATTGTCACCGCTGGCTACTGGCAAAGTAATTATCAATTTTACTCGAATGATTCAATACGGAACTTATTCACGATAGCAGACAAGATGGCTTACAGACGATTAATATTACACGAGAACAAAGAAATTTTGGAAAAAGGTCATCTTTACCTATTTAATAGTCAAGTAACTACGCCAAAACTATATCGTCAATCAGCTGAGAGCCCAAAATTTGGGTTTATAGCTCACTTGAGGGAACAGCCGAAACATGTCTTATAAGTCATTGCTTTTATAGTTTCAATAATTGTTTTGTGTCACAGTGCTATTGGTTATTTCTGTATTAAAATATTTCAATTTTTTTGGGTCTGACAGATTTAATGACCACAAATCGTCCCTTTTATCTTCAGGACTGTCATTTGATCAATAGAGGAATTGAATACCATGCAGAGGCTGCCCGTGATTTCAAGGCATCTTGTTAAACCACCCTCCCAATCCACCTCTATATAGATCTCCTAGTTTCAAATTCCCCATCCCAGTAACAACCACTGATGTCAAAATTCCCCCCCCCCCCCCCCCCGCCTGGGCAATCTGAGCTTACCTTGAAACGATTACTCCATGCTGCCCGAAAAAAGACGGCATTTTCATAAAATTAGGATCTTGATACGCGAGTCAAATGCACTGGCCGAGTCGCCATCTTTGTTTCCACTGCTTTACCCCAGATCTCACTCGGTCAGTCGAGGACCGTAAAGTATGGGCACAAATTAAAGCCCGAAAATTTTTCGCGATTGTTTGCGGTTTTTTTTCCACGGTCCCCAAAACATAGTTACCGCAAAATTTTTCATCGTAAAAATTTACTCCACTGGCCAAATAATCCATGCAAACTTCACATGTTGAATCTTACTCGTGCGCTCCATTTAATTTAAAACGACTCTTTCAAGAAAATCTAAAGGTATAGCGTTGTGTAGCTGCTAAAAAGTTTACAGAAAAAAAACCGTCTTAAGATACATCAACCACCCTGGCGCAAGAAGAAATTGTAATAGAATGACTGATAACCGTGTAGTGTAATTGAAAAATTGCCGAAAATGTTGTATTTCAAATAAACGCGACTTTCAAAAAAATTGATACCCAGCTCGAAAAGCCAGTCTTTCACAATAGCAAAAATTAGTTCCCGCAAAATACAAAAAATCGCCGATCCGCAATGTTAAACTCCCGCAAAATTTCGTGCCACACGATAATACTTGTTTATGTATTGTACAAGTATAACCACCGTATTGTCCGGGGCATTTATTGAACAGTCGGCATAGTAATTAGACGGTTTTGTCCTCTTATTTTCGACAAACTGATTTTTCTCGTTAATACTTGAACTCTTCTAATTAATGGCAAAATTAAGCTAAAATGTCAATCGGTTTATACGACAGATTATTCTGTTTGGTGCCCCTCTCAAAAGTCGCGGAATAAATTTTGCACTTATTGATTGATTGATCATTTGATGGCATTCAGTTACATAAGGACATCTCCCTGTATTCGGTTATCCCCTGGTAATTAGAATAAACACTGGGGGCGGTCATCTCCCTGTATTTGGAATAAACACTGGGGGTGGTCAGCTGAGTTATCTCCCTGTTTTTTGGAATAAACAGGGGGGGGGGGATATCCCTCCGTATTTGGAATAAACACTGGGGGTGGTTATCTTTCTGTATTTGGAATAATACTGGGGATACCGGGGACGTCTATTTCAAGCTCGACCACTTAAGCATTTATATGAGCGCAGCGTTGAAAATTCATGACGGAGTAATGGAAATACTTTGTAGTCCTACGCCTTTTAGATTTCGGTCAGATATCGATCTTTCTCACTCCTGGCTATGCCGCCAACGGTTTCTGGAGTTCTTCCGCTTTACTTCCATATTTCGCTATCGGTTGACAACACCTCTTTGCCAGGATTTCATAAAACGCGAAACAAGCTAAGTTAAGTTTCATTTCTCACATTTTCAGTTTTCGTGACAATTGGCCTGAACCTTGAGAGGAAAGTTTGCTTTGAAATTAGATGCAAATACCGGCCTCAAAAAGAGAAAAACCTTAATGGCAAATGCATAACAAATTTCATTTATGCCAGCTGAAACAGGCAGTGGCTACAATTAATCAGAGTGCTTTAGGGTACTCGTAACCTTTCAACTGCATTTTCGTTTAAGTGCACTTCGCGGCCTTTAAGAAGCGTTCAAAGTTCAATGTACGCTAGTTCTTGCATAAAAAAAGTTTCTGAGGACCCTTGACTGTATTTATAAAAAAATATTGATATAACCACCCATCAAGCAGTAACTAACACGCAATATTTCAGACTTTGGCCCTGTTTCGACAGGTTGCTAAAAAAAGCCTACTCTAAAAGATGTCAAAATAGGAATGGCTTCTTCCTTTAAAACATAAACAAATTTATTAGATCAATACCCTAAATCCGCCTTGCTATAGGAAACGGAAAGGCAATAAATGTATTTTGTTTGGCAGCCAAATTGTGTAAGTTTATGTTATTGACACGTTGTTAACTGAAAACATCCTGATAGGCTAGAAGATAGACAAAATTCAATTTCTAACACCAAAATTTTTACATTTTATCAATTCAATCTTGAATTTACACCGTATGATTTGATTCTAACTGGTGATAGCCTTCTATCACTTTCTATCAGCTCAGTGAGGCTCGTCTTATAAAGCTTCTCCCAAGATTTTTCTGCATTTAGTGTAAATTGACTAAATTAAATGACATTGCAATTTATATGCAGACCAATCCAGAAAAAAATTTATGCAGAAAGAAACTTTTCACACTACGAGGATAATCCTCAGTTGGCACGTCGACCGAAGCTTTTGCAGAGGGCGATTTTAATTCATCTTGAAGTAATCCTATATTATAACTGCTCGCGGCACAGGACACTCCAATACAAGCTTGCATAAATGCCCGCCATTATTTATATTGCTTTTGCGGTGTTGTCTGCGGCCATCTTTTCAACAAGCATCGTGTTAAATGGTCTCGTCTGCCTGGTGTTTTACAAGAACAAACAGTTTCGTAACCCGCCCAATGTTTTCGTTATCAGTGTTGCCGCCAGCGATTTGTTGTTTTCAACGACCTCCGTACCACTGCACATTGTTGCAAACGCTTATGGAAAGTGGATTTATGGAGAAGAAGGTTGTAAAGCCGCTGCATTTATAACATTTCTGTCAGGACTGACTTCTCTGATGCATTTAGCAGCCGCTTCTTACGAGAGGTACGTTGCTGTTGTTTTCCCACTTACAAGCCGTAGAACTGTCACTTTCCAAAAGGCAATTCGCATGTCAGTCGCCGTCTGCTTGTACGCTTTGTTCTGGAGTGTGATGCCATTGTGTGGCTGGTCAGGTTTTGAGTTAGAAGGAGTTCGTACGAGCTGCTCTGTGAGGTGGAAGTCGCATAACAAAATCGATTTGTCCTACAATGTTTGTATAATATTCTTTTGCTTTGCATTCCCAGTTATTTTAATAAGTTTTTCGTACTTTCAATGCTGTAAGGAAATTATGAGTTCGACAAGAAGAGCGAAGAGTACATGGGGAAAGTCGTCCAGCTTTACGAGAAAGTCCTTTGAAATAGAGCGCAAGATTGTAGTGCTGTTTGGAGTGATGACCGTGGCATTTCTTGTGGCCTGGACACCATATGCCGTTGTATCACTGATTACAATGATTGCTGGACCTGACGTCATCAGTGACGTCGCTGCATCCGTCCCAGCATACACTGCCAAATCATCAGCCTGTTACAACCCTATTATTTATGTGTTTCTGTACAAGAGATTGCGGAGGCAGATCTATTTCATATTACGAAGAAGATCTAGTAGAACTAGCAAACAGTCAAACGAAAGCGAGACATGGAAGTTCGGCGAAAATTCAGTGAGGCGTTCCCCCCAAAAGCACGTCCAACTTGTCCCAGACGGAAACGGCAATTTTTAAGGGGGGAAACACGGTTCTTGTTTCGGAGGTACCGTAAAGCTTGTTGAAAACCCCACTGTTTTAGAAACTCTAGTCAGTGTTACAGGATGTTCGCTAGCGTTACCGTTTACAACGGAAAAACAGTTAAAATGGACATCTCTAGATGAGCTGCTGAACTATTTCGAGAAAGCGATATCACAATAAAAAATAGAGTGCGAAGTCCAGCAAATCCAGTTGTCACACGCATAGTTTTCAGGATTTAATATTCTTTGTTAGGGTCTAATAAAGATTAAAGATACCAATAACGGCACAGAGATGATTAGTGGAGAGCACTAAGATACTGGGTAAAGCTTGACACATGTCAGTTAGACATTGGCTATAGAGTGTCAGAAAAACGGATGAGAAACAAACGTGTGCGCCAACGGAAGATGTCTGATATTGAGATGTATATCTATCTATTTGCCATACAAGACCCTTTACTTCACGTTAAATCAAGTCAGGAAGTTAATTTGTCCGGCTGCGGACAATGTATTGAACGCCTTAAACATTAACAGCATATCATCAAAGACGTCTTTTGTCTCTTAACGCATAGAGCTTCAAAGTCACAAGAATGGAGCATTTTTTCTTCATGTTTTCTTACTTTTATTACAAAAGAAAGGAGTATGACTCTGTTACTAAAAATCATACAACTAAACATGAGGAAGATTAATACATCACAGTTATAAAGTGAAAAACTAGTGGCTCTGAGTTAAAATAAATCGCCTTGAGTAAATATTAAACAATATATATTATACAGTTCTAAAAGCTGAAGCTACATAATAAGGCCATTTATACAAGAAAAATAAACCTAGGCATATTTTCCTCGTATAAATAGCCCTAATGTAACAAGTTAAAGTAGCATTCCAGAAAACTTAACTCGTTATAACTAAATAACTTATGATATCAGTGTTACAAAATTGGATAGTTAAAGATATTTCTTGGATATGTCAGTGTCAACACTCCAGGAAACTAAAATAATTAGGAACATATTTAAGACTACAAATAGCTCTAAAAATGGCAAAACTGATGATAAAATTTGCCTGCAATAAAACTGATTAAATAACCTAAACTATAAATTTTAAAACAATGGATGATTAAAAATATGTCTCGAATAAGTCAGTGTTTATTCGATCCGATTTGCGAGTATGCTATGGGTAAATGAAAAGACTCTATCTAAGTTAAAGTTTACTTTTTGTTAGTTCATCGCCCTCTTTTGTTTAGAACAATCTCTCCAATAGAAAAGCTTTTGTAGATTATAATTGTTGCGTCTGCATTAAATCAGTTTAATGACTAAACACTGCAGTGAATCGTGGCCGTTCTTCACTCCAGAAGCTTTCCCTTGGTCACTTTTTTTGCTACCTACTTAAAATTACACTTAATAAAGAATGCAGGTGAAACTTTGTAATATGTTTCGACTTTGTAAAAAAAGAACCGGCAAGGTTCGGTTAAGCCTTAGCAGCAGTATATCATTTCACCCGTTTAGTTTTATTCTCCCACAGAAACTTGAGTTTCCAGTTCCATATCTCCCCCGTAATAACCCGGTTTCTTACACGCAAAAAGCTCTTTAAACCTCTTTCTGTATTCCTGGTTAGAAAAATAATAAATGAAGGGATTCATGCAAGAATTAAAAAGCACAAGTACATTAAACCCCTTATGCAATGAGCTGCCAATCTTTGTGATACCAAAAGGACTGAGGATGTAAATGGTTTGAGCTGGGAAACCGCAAACTGTCAAGGCAATGGCTGCTATGGCGCACATGCGCAGTAAAGCCTTCTGTACCTTGCGTTCAGTTTCATTAGCGGTTTCCTTGGGGGTTGCCGGGAGATTCATTGTGATGTCACCAAATGTGAACCACGTCAAGAAACACGGAATATAGAAAGTAACCAAGCTGTACGATATGATGAAAGCTCGCGTTCCCTCCTTACCGTACGGGGCATTCTTAGTGACACATTTCTCCTCAGAAAGCCTTACTTCGAAAAACTTATTCATAGAAAGAATGCACGTTACAATAAACATGACCGCTATGTAGATCAAAACCCTTTTCCTACTGAAATGTTTCTCATATTTCATCGGTTTAAATACACAGAACCATCGCTCAATGGCCAGACAAGCTATGAGGAGAATGGAGACTTTTCCCATGGCGAACAGTAGGTATCTGTTGTGGAGAAGTCTGCAGAATACTTCACCTCCTGCTCCATGAGGGACTGGGTACGAAGACTTGTGGA